TAATAAGAAAGTTTAGAATTTATATAGAAAACTATTATAATTTCTAATCATCATTATAATGGTAATTAAAGTATATAAATTATGAAATAAATTTGAAATATTTATTTATTTACACTATAAATACATACATTTTTAACAGTGTAATATAACTTAGGTACTATAATATTTTAATTTGAATTGTATAACAATATACATGTGTACATTTTAATAAATATTACAATACATACATTTTTTAATCTTTCAAAAATATGTAATTGAATATAATTTTTTAATTTTCTAGAAATTATAATTTATATTTTGTATCTTATAAACAATAATAATATAATAATTGTTTTTTTTTTTTTTTTAATCGTATGTAATAATAAAATAATAACTTATTTTTATTTTCATATTATTTATCCTTACTTTTACACTTCAATTAATTAATATTTTTATAAATTAATAGTTTAAAGCATATTATATTTATTATACTAAATACATTAAATTATTATTTAAATAATTTGTGCATGCATGTGTTAATCGAGCAATTCAACTGTTGTAATAATAAATCATTTCATGTGTTATAAGTACAGGAATATTCATTAATTGAATAAATACATAAATTATATTTAATAAAATATGTATAACTTAAACTTATTACTCCAAGTCAAAAAATTATAACAATACACTTAACATGTCTCTAAAAAAAAAAAACTTAAGATATTGATAATGCAGTGCAGTTATTCTGAACCATCATTAAAAATATGGCACTTGTAACATCAAAAATTAGATATAATAGTTTCATCTTTAAAACAAAAACAATACTATACAAGCATATTCTTGGAAATGGCTCAAATATTTGATCGTATCTGGTATAGTGTTTCTCACAAAAAAAATTGATTTTTATCTCTCTCCCTATAACGACTTCTCAAATAATTTCTCACTCATCGCACATTTTTGGTACATCGTGAGGAGGACTCATCAAAAGTCCATCCTATATAAACCAAATTTTTAATAAGGTAGCATCCTTGTTTCAACTCTTTACATCCACTATTTTGTTAATACTAACCTAACTATATTTTCTGACGATACAGGTATCATTATTTTTAATCCAGATAATATAAACATTAAATACAGTAACAAAAATCTCAATGATTACTAATTAAAGCACAGCTTTAATTTAAGCTCTAGAGAATAAATATATATCGATGAAAATCAACTCTTGTCACTTTAAGTCACTGCCTTAATTATAGTCCTTTATAGTCCTCTAGTTTACCTAATCTAAACGAAAGAATAATTTCAATAAAACAGTTTGTCAAATATTTCGGAATTTATCTAGACAAAATATTAGTGGTTCTGAAAAACGTGCATGGAAATTAAAAGAAAATCCTTTAATATCAAATTAAACCAATTTTAAAGCACTTCTTCTGGTTTACAAAAGAGTCATTCACCATGCCATGGTATAAGGTACCTAATTGAAATTGCTATTAAACATTCAATCGTTTAAAAATAGATTAATGAAAACCATACTCTGTACAAAAATCTAAATATCTACACACATATTTTGCTCTTTTTTACTATCCAAATTTGCGCTTATCTTTTATCTTGTCTTTGCTCCTATTCTTGACAATCCACCTTTTTCTCTCGAAATGAAATTATTATTCGACCTACTGTATTAATTTAATTAAACAAATACAAACACGAAAAAAAAACGAAACCTTATGCAGTAGTGCCAATGTCACTAATGTCATATTTCCTAATATGCCTATGCACATTATTATTCCATTTCCTTATTGTATTGTATACTATATATATATAGACTTATTTTTTTATATTTTGTAAATAATACCAAAAAAAATTTAAATTTATATCCATATTATGAAAAATTTCATTTTATATTTTTAGCATTTGTATACATGTATAAAATCTTTGATTTTAGATGTATAATTATATGCACCTGTAAAATAATTTTTCAAATTTCTTATGATATAAATTTATATAATCAATTCGAAATCGTATTTTACATTGAATGTAACAATAAAATAAATCACTATTATAACTAAAAATTATGATCTTACATAAATATTTAATTTGTTAATGCACTTGAATTCTAATAAAATATAACACAATTATAACAATTGTATATTATATATTCAAATATTAATGAATTATTTTTAAATCTTATCAGCATCTTGTTTTTTATAAATTGCATTGCTATAAAAGTATCATATTTTTAAATTTAAATAATAAATAAGTATTTCTTTAAATTTATAATAATAAATTAATGTGATATGATTAAGATAATTAAATACAAAAAATAAAAACTATATAAATTTTTATTCTTGTCAAACAATCTTAACGATAAGATACATAATTTGAAGCCAAAAAAAAAAAAAAAATAATAAAATAAAATAAAAAATATTGCGGGCATAAAATAACGCATTTTCATATTTTTTTAGTATAGGAATAAGGATAATTATTATTTTTTTTTTGTAAGTTACAAAATGTATTATTAAAATTTTAAACTAATTAAAAGACTTCTACTAAAATAACAGTATTAATAATTATGATATTATAATATAGTGAAAAACCTAGGTATTTATAAATAATGTTACTAATATAATAATACACTATGCAATGTTGTAAAAAAAAAAAAAAAGTTTACAATAATAAAATATATCACAGTTAAAAATATAGATTTTAATTATAATAATACCAAAAAAATGAATAATTTTATATTCTATTACAATTTGTACTTAATACATATTTAATGTACACCTTTGTAAGTTGACTTGTTTGGTAAATTTTGAACAGTATTATGAATCATTATCACATGTATTAAATAAAATAAATTTGATAAGAATAATTTTATAAATTGTATAATTTTAAGTCATAAACAATATTGTGTTCTATGGCTAAAATATTACATGATATTAAGAATTTATTTTGAGTATTGGGATTGCCTATACAATGCGCCATCCTATGATAATTAAAGTGTAACGTACAGTAAATTTAATATATTAAAACAAAATATTGATAAATTGTAAAAACAACTCGTTTTACCCTGATTCGAGCTTATTTTATTATTAATATATAACTATTCCTAATGATAATTTATAGGGTTAAATAACAATTATTTATGGTTAATGATATTACATAATATCATAAAATAGTTATGTGACCAGTAAAGAAATTACAACTTAATTGGATTTATTAAAAATCGATTTTAATAGTAAAGTAATGAATTCCGCACTATTCGTCAATACTTTAAAAATATTGTTAAGATTATCCTTACACTTACGGTATAATATACCGTAGCATCTAATAATGTGTAATAACATTAATATAGCTTGATCGGGATTTAATTTTATCCAACGATCTAACGTGGTTGCTCTATAACGTATAATTATTCAACTTTTAAAAGATAGATTATAAACGTTCACGACTTTTAGGGATATAAATATAATAAACATGTAAGGGACTGTATCTTAGTCTGTTCGATTTAACTAAATTCTGCGTAGACTTACTGATATTGTTTTATACATTTTTTAAAATTTAAAATTAATTATATAATTTAATGTTATGTATGTATTTGTGGAATCTAATTGAGAATTCATAAATTATTATACTTTAATATGAATTTAAATTACGCGTAGACGTACCGAAAAAGCTATTATTTTAAACATGTAATATAAACTTTAAACAACTTTTGACAATTGAAGGAAACTACGTAAATGTGTATAATGTTATACAATATGTAATTAATGTATATACGTTTCAATGTTAATACTATTTGGTTTTAAATTTTACACACATGACTATTGACTACAGAAAGTTTGTACAATCAACCTCTTAACAATATTCAGTATAGATAATAAATTTACCCAGATAATAAGGTAGCTGAAATAATTCAATCATTTTATTTATGAAGTTATTAAATACAATTTATTTTAATCTAAACAATAATTAATTGGTGTATTATAAAATATTTATGATTTACTAGAACTATACCTTATAACAATACATAAAAATATTCATAAAATGATAAAATAATTATTTTTTTTTTCTTTACAATAATTGTATTATGATTTAAGGTAAAATCTACAATAATTGCTCCTATCAATGAATTGAGTATTTTTTATTTATTTACTAGATAATATATATATATATATATATATTAATTGAACACCTTTTTTGTTTTATCAATGTATCTTACATCAAAACATTTTATTTATTTTTTTTTAATTATATTTTCCATAAATAAAATAATATTACAGTTGTTTTGTTGTTGAAATATTAAAATACTACGAATTTATACACTATACATAACAGTGAATTTTACTATAATACAATTAGAAACAAGAACATAATACAAATAGAGATTTACAAGTAGTATTCAAGTAGTATTGCTATACAGTATACATTATTATGTTATTAGTTAAGTTAGTATAACTGACGCGATCATTGATAATCAACTTATATTCTAATAAAGGTATAATAAAGATATTATCTAGAGAATATTATTTTTAGTTTTAAATTCAGCGTATTTTAGTTTAATTAACTTAATCTAAGTTAAATAGACAAAGGGTTTGAAAAAGAATGTCCGAAATTCAGATTTGTTTTATTTACATAACCCATACTAAAAGTTTTAGATTTAAATTGAGCCATGTGTTTATTTTACATTAATTTCAACAAAATGAATATCACTTTTCGTTAATATTTTTAATTTTTAGTTAAGTTTTTACAATGACAAAAACAGAAACAACAAAAAATAACTAATGATATATATAATGAAGTGTTGCGAATGTCTTACGACTCCATTTTGCATGTCAAAGATATATGTTGTATAATAGTGATAAACATTATCTATGATTAAAATAAAATAATAAAAAATTAAAAATGTTTATGTATACATAAATGCACATAAAAATAGTGAAAATAGTATTTTATTCTGATTACAAAACAAAAATAACAAATTTCACTACATTTTCTTGTGATATTTAAAGGTTCATTGATTTGAAAACTATAATATCTGTTAAATTTATTAAACGTGCTGACGTTAAAGAAATTAATTTAATAACATTATAAAATAATAACAATAAATTAGTATTTGTAAAGAACATGTTTGGAGTATGATTTAAACAATCAACGACAGCTCATATGCAACGATAACGTTTATATTTAATTGTTTTCTTGAATAATATTTAGAATTATCGAAATGCTTTGTTGAAGTCGAACAAATGAACGACTGAATGATGGTATTATTAGAATAGAGGTAACCTTTAGGCATAAAATTATAATGCTCATCACACCGTCACTTCCTTCATAAATGGTTTCTTGCCATTTTGATTGACGACCAATGATTTTTGGCTACCACTAGTCGGGTGACTACAACCAAGGTGGTGGTTGGTGAACGCATAACCACTGACAGCTGCAGCCGATGGTTTTTTTTCAATATTGGTTGACCAGACAACGCGTTTGCTCACCTCTTGCATAGCTGATATCTTTTCGGCTAAATGCCGATTACCAAGTCTTAAGTTTTTATCCTTGAGCGCATCCAGCTGCCTAAAGAGTTGTGCGAATTCCTCCTGCAACATGAATCAACCGCGTTATTTATACATCGTGTTTTTTTCATGCAAAGCGCTTATAATAGCTATCTAACAGGCTGGTAACTTTGATTATTGATGTAAAATAGTATATATAAGAAGTATGTATGATGTACTCATTTGTATATACAAAATTTAAATACCAAGTTAAATATTATTTACAGGTATGGATATATATATATATTAATAAGAACCATAACATTATTTAAATTAGGTACAATAATTATGATTAATATTTATCTAATATTTTTAGAATAATATGATATTTTAATACTTTGTGTATTGAGTGTATTGATAATTGTTAATACCTAATTAATAATTATTTTATAATTTTTATAATTAATAATTACATTTTATTTTATTCAATTATTGTTAATCATTGATAGAAACAATAAAATCAAAATTATTTTTATTTTTTATTTTCATTTTAATCGACAATGATTTTCAATAATTTATTAACAGATTTTAAAATGCCTCAATTATGTTTCTATGTAGATGATGTTATATAAGTAAAATATAAATAGTATATTTTAATTTTTAAAAATATTTATTTAACATAAATTAAATATTACCTTATAGAGTATATATAAGTCAAGTTTTAATAAAACTCTCTATTATATATATTTATCTTTAAATTGTATTTCAAAAATAAGTGTATTATAACTGATTTCCCTAGGGATTGTAACATAATTAAAATAAACTGTAGCTATGCAACTATATATCTATATTATTATATAATAAATATGAGACATTTTATTTTATCATGATAATTTCCATTAAAGAATGATTACAAGAAATTATGTAATGTATTAAAATTGACAGACATATTGCGGCTACTCGAAAGAATTACCATTTTGTTTTAGTATTGTTAAATAGGTATAAGTTATTAAAATTTATGATTTATAATAATACATTAATATACTTCATAATATAGAATTAGTAACAAAAAAAAAAAAAAAAAAACGCATTTAAAATAACTGTGTACCTGCGTAGACAAAATATTGACAAAGAAATTTTTTTCTTACATAGTATTACAATATTCTATGTATATTTTTTATATAATATATACACTTTTGGAGCTTTGCATAATATACAGAAATCCATTATTTATGGACATAAATGGTATCTAGAGACAACTCGAAAAATAATTTGAAATGGCAAATAATATATCAAGATTTCTAATTTTTCAATTACATTGTACTACTAAATGATAAATATTTTTCCTAGAAAATTTGGAAGGTTTAGAAATATGAACATCAAACAAAATACTTCAGAAAAGTATGTATTTTCCTTAGTATGTTTTTTAAATACCATTGGATATTATTTCAGTGAACATAACACATTATATTATACAGCAAAGTTTAATATTAAATTATTATTTTTTTTTTTGTTTTCATAAATATTTTAAGTAGATACTTATTACATTTTAGAATTTAACCAAACTAATAATTAACAAAATTAAAACATCATTATTTTTATTTCAACGAAAAATAAATATGATTAAATTTATTAACTATTCACTTCATACGGTTGGCGTAGAAACATGTTGGCATAACGCTGGCTGGTTGTTTACAATATAAGAAATTATTTTTTGCTAAATAAAGATGATGACCATTAAAAATTTCGGCTTGATATTTAAATTGTATACAAATTTCATATTACTATGAAAAATCATACTTCACACAAACAGGTTGAGTCTAAAATAAGTTTGCATTGTACCCTGTAGGTTCTAATAGTCTTATAATACAATTTAACAAATTAAAATAAACTTCAATGTAAAATAAATTTTCATTACATACTGGGTAGAAGCTACATATTACAGTAAAATCTTGATTACCCGTGCCCACTCTTTCGAAAATTTTTAAACATAATACTCGATACCGCCGTCCGCCAATCGTATTAATTACATTGTTGACGATAATAATATAAAAAAACTCAATATTGTACATCGATTATTATATTTAAATTATTTATAAATAATTTCAAACCAAAAAAAAAAAAACAATGACGGATAATTTCATATTTTAAGCCCTAATAACTTGTTATATATGTTACGGTCAAAATCCGAAATCGGACAAACCTTAGAAATGCCCGGGCAAAACGCGAATTGCCCACAATCCTTGGGCAAAATGTCATATTTCGGCTTTTGACCGGGCAAACCTAGTTATGACCAACATCATTTGGGCAAAACCGTCAAAACCGTATACTGACTTTCATCGTAAGGACAAAACCGTAGAGTTTTAAATACGTTCGCTAATATTATAAACAAATTTAATAATTATAAAATAAGTATTATTGTACAAATATATTTAAATAAACTTAATTAATACATTTAAACCTCACTTAAACGCTACAGTTTGACTCAAGTGAGTTTATAGTCAGTATACAGTTTTGGCGGTTTAGCCCAAATTATGTTGGTCATAACTAGGTTTGCCCGGTCAAAAGCCGAAATATGACATTTTGTCCAAGGATTGTGGGCAATTCGCGTTTTGCCCGAGCATTTCTGATGTTTGCCCGATTTCAGCTTTTGCCCATAACATATACAATATTATGGATGTATGTATAACATTATTGTATGTATACGTATTCTTATGTATATTTCTAATTACAATTGAATCAACATTTTTAAAATTTCATTATTATAAATTTGTACCTATGTATTTCTAATTATAATTAAATAAAAAATTTCATTATTTTAAAAAGTTTCAATTAATCGTGATTAACATTTATCCGTGTGACCCTCTCTCCATCATTACCCCGGATAATCGAGGTTCTACTGTGTATAGTTTGGGCTTATTACACGGTTTATACTATGAGGTTTTTTTTTTTTTATATATAACAAATTCTGAAGGTTTTTTGGAAGAGTACTGATTACATACTCAATCAATTATATAATATTATCATTATATAAAAAATGAGTTTTCTTAATAAAAATATCTAGTGTAACACGAAATTTAGGTAACACAGTTTTGTTAATAATTAACAGAATAATTTATGCTATTAGTAGACGATACGTAAGATTAAATTTTATTTTAAAATATTTGATTATTGTCCTACTTGTAAGTTAAGACTTTAATGAGTTAGTTATTACTACTAGAACTTAAAAAATAATATAAGCACTTAACCACTATAACACAATATTTTTGTAGCAACGTGGCAAATTTTAACTTAATAAATGTTTTTCATACTTTTGGTGACACATCTCTTGTCATTTGTGAAGATTTACCTATCGTGATTCTTTTTACACATAAATTTGAGTTACCGTTTTTGGTTGAAAATATAGACCTGAATCAATAAAAAAAATGAACTTTTCTTAAGAATTATATTTATTTGAATAAGTTTTAAATGTTAATATCAATAATATCATGTTATTGATGCGATTGATTTACAACTTCTATTTAATATTTAATACTATTTACCATTATTGTATAAAATCTGGAGGTATTTTAATCAAACACACGAGTGAAAATATTTATTTATATACTTATGATGTATATATTACATAAATATACATAATATAATATATCTTAACTTACTAATTCATCATCGCTTAGACAAAACCATTAAAGTTGTGAGTGTAAAATTTTATCAGTAGTTTCATTTTATTATGTAGATACCCACTGTGTAAAGATTTTTCAAAATTCATTCCCTAAAGGAGTAAAAAGGTGTAATAAGGGATAAAAATGGAAAATATTTTTTTTAGAAGATTTTTTTTTATTGAAACTTAGCATAGAAACTCTAAAATAGTTATTGGATTATATATAGTTTTAGACTTGTATTTTATATTCGATAAAATCACTCAAAAAACTATTAAAAATATGTGTAGTTTTTATTTAAAAAAGCTTAAAACGGAGTAAATTTGTATGCGTTTCATAATGTGTCACGGACAATACCATGCGGGATCAGTTTGTATTTATACCTACATATACAATATACATTATACATATTATTCTTTCTGTAACTGAACTCATCCTTTGGCTTTACAAAATTTGATATTTGTGTATGTGTGTGCTTGAGTGGGATATTGGATGATTTAGATTTACAATCGGAAATATTAGGTGTCATTACAGTTGGGTACTAGGACATTTTAACATAGTTATATTTAAAATTACATATGGATGAATCTTAGATTCCAGTGATCTTGGTAACCACTTTTTCAATTGTCAAAAGACACTTTTAAATTATATAAAGCACTACAGGACAAATTTTAAGCATAGTTATTATATCTTTCGTACACAGAATATTGAGCGTTAAATAAATATATAATCTGTCTAGAAAAATTAAATTTGAATTTATACAAAAAATATTAAAAAAAATTTCTTAGCAAAGTTGATTTTAATACAACCTAAATAATTGTTAATACTATATTAAGTTATATTTTTCAGTTTATTTTAAAATTACTATTGTGATATAAAAATAAACGATTTATTAGTTAACTGTTAGACACACCAAAACAAAAATAAAACTATGCAACACCATGCATTGGTTTAGATGGTCAAGGTTTTAAATCCATTTCTCATTTTATAAGTTAATTTACAATCAAATTAACCATATAAATAACGAATTGAACTAAATTTGAAGTATTTAAGATAAGCAATTTTAATATGAAAAAAGTGCACGAAAAATGTGAAATCAAAAAAGTAATCCTTACGTATTCTTACGCTTTACGATTAATGTTAGTTTTAGGCAATGTGATCTGATTTAATACGGATGTATTTTATACGGGAAACATAGTACACGAGGTAGCTAGTATGTACATATTATATATATAAACTCACATATTATGTTCGAGATTTAAATGACACATTTTACAAATTTTGTTTTCGAAATTATTTTTTTTTTAATATATTTTTAATTTTTTTGAATATTAAAATGTTTACCTATAGTATTTTTTATTTTTATTATAAATTTTAAATTTTGTTACAAGTATTTTCATTACAACACCTTGTTTTTGCTTATTAGACTTATTTATGATTTAATAATAAAATATTTTTTAATAAAATACAAGGTAGGTATCGTTAAGCGTTTTATATAATATATTCTAAAAAAATAATTATCAAATAACGTATTATCTCCGGCATTATAACAATTCAATTATTTTTGTTTACTTCAGACATTTTTCTGTGTAAGTAATATTTTAACCATAACATTATCACACTACAATACAAATATTTTTGTTTATGTTTCATAGAAATATAAATATAAAACTCACTTGCGCGTCTGCTTCAGTTAACACAAAGTCGGTACTAGATTCTTCTAAGCCACAAAATGTTGAGTTATTAGCTTTGTTTGAATTTCTAGTCTGTTTACTAAACATTCTACTACCACCAGTTACTTTAATGTGCTTTATATGTCCGTCTTCATCATTTGCTTCTTCACCTCTCATCACTAAATAAGCCTACAATATAATATATAAATTTCAAATAATTTTATTAAAACAAAAAAAATGTCGATATATTTTAAGATATTTATAAATTTAAAAATGTTTACAAAAATATAAATCATTTGCTTATTTGACATAATTATAACCTTTAATCATAACGTTTAATGCGCTAATAAATCTTATACTTAAAGGTTTTCTAATATTTAAATAAAATATTTCAAAATATGCATATAAAATTATAGTTATAAAATTAAAATAAATAACGTACTTTTAAAAAATTATTGTTTTTTAAAATTTAAAAAAATAAATATTTAATTTTAGATTCTGAACATAACGATGAATGTATAGATTTTTCATTTATGTGTGTTTTATACATATTTATATACACATGAAAAATAGTAAAAAAAAAAAAAAAAAAATGATTCGATTTTCAACATTAGGGTCGAATAAGTAGCTTACACACGAATCAATAATAATTTAAAATATACGAAATCTGTTTTTTTTTTATAGACTTTTGAAGTCTAAATTTGACGAAATTTAATATTTAAATTAAGAATAACGATTTTAGTAATTTTGAATTTAATTAATAAATATCCCTTGTAGTGTTTCTAAACTTATATATATACTCGTATATTACTTTTAATTATAATTTATATATATTATGAAATAAAAAAAAAATTTTAAAAAATAGGTTAGTTTTATGCTTTAATTATTTTTATGGACTTGATTTTACATTTTATAGTATATTTTAGTTTCAATTTAAATTACTCACCTTACTAGCGAATATAAATCCTAGCAAAGTTGTAACTGTGAGTTGAGTATGACAGAAAAAAATGATATACTGCAAGTCAGGGTTAGCCGGCGACTGTAGAAAAAACCTGTATTAAACAAGAATAATATTGATAAATGTATGAAGAGAAAAATAATTCTCTATATTATAATATTTATAGTATATCGTTTAATATTTTTTACATTTATTTCAAACATGTAACCTTTTTTTAAACACTGAAATTTCAGATTTGCACAATTTTCAGTTTATATTTATACTGTAAAAAGTACAATAATTTAATAACTTATTAGTCTGTTGCAAGTATGCGTATAGATTGGGAACATTTTTTTGGAGTAGATAAATTGTAGAATGTTTTATTCAATAAATATTATTAATGTAAAATAAAAAAGTAAAAATAAAAAAATTAAGTTACTTCATTTCAAAGCAATATGTAAAAACTGTTGTATTTATTTATAATAAGAAAAAAAATATGAAATTCTAATACTCTGTAACAGACGCTAGATGTTTTACTGCAACCCTGAAAATATATTTTATGCATTGTGACAAATAATATACTAATATCTGATTACTATGCTGTAAACATGTAGCCATATGTTAGGTTCATTTGGTATTATATGACGTATAGCACACAATAAACTCATTACTCATTTTTCATTGAAAAAGAGATTTATCAATATGCATGCATATTTCATATAATTCTTAATTCAGACATACAAACAATGACATTTCATAAAATATCATAATTAAATTTTTAATCGTTTGTTTAATATAATCTTGTTTTTAGTGAAGCTCAAGTAGCTTAATTTATTGATAAGCTAACACCCCTAAGATAATACTGCAGTTAATAAATATTAATTTCATAAAGGCCGCCCCAGATAAGTCGGTATATAAATAATTATTTGTAATTTATCACAATTTCCTAAAATAGTGTCTACTCATATATTAATATATTAAAAAAATAGCGTTAGGAAAATATTAAAACTTATCATACATATATATATACAAATATGATATGCGTGGAACTAATGAAGCCAGCAATATAATAAATTAGTATTTAAGTATGATTTAATTTTTTTATTTTTATTTCCCGAACAAAGAGGCCGTTTATTTTTGTCTAATATCAAACATTCATTTTGTATCATAACATGTATGTACTAAATCAGCTAAATAATAATGAAAAAAAAAAAAAAACATAATTATATAAAACATTATCTTCGCTTTTTATTTCTTGTGTCCATATTTTATAGTCTACTATAAAATTCCATTAAATATTTCTATAACCATATAAGATCCTTTATATCTCCATATTCTGATTTACTTATAACTATTCTGTATAATACATACCATTACGTATACTAAATCTCAAAATCGTTCTATCATTTCATATTGAATTATATTTAATATAGTTATTTATTTATGACATAATAATATAACACGCGTTGTATAGTATAAAAAAAATAGTAAAACATTGAAAACCATTCAAAACTAATTGGTTATAAATAAATATCAGGAAATTATATTTTTAAGGTTAACATTAGAAAATGTTTGATTAATTAATTCATATTAAAGATATCCATTAAAAGTATTAAATTGGTTACGTTCCAACATTACGTTTGTCTTTACTTTAATTTAATTTACATCAATAACATAACTATGACGATGTTTTTATTTAAACCACTGAAAATCGTTTAATTTTAATTTTAATTTATACTTTAAATTAAATACATAAATATATAATTTTTTTCATTTACATTTGTATTCATTAGAATTATTCAACTCACATTGATACATTAAGGAAGACTGAGAGAATAAATTCATTGTAGATTGCCATTGACATGAATCGACTCTCGTTGAATTCTGATGGTGCTTTCCGTACAACAATACAAAGACGGATACCCCAAACTAGAAATAATACTTCCACTAAAAAAAGAGAAAAATATAATTATATTATTTGACACTTAATTAGTATTTTTTATGTATATAATTTTTTAAAATCTTTTTAGATTTTCAAAAAATATTTATTCTACAAATTTAAGGATAATATATCTAGATGATAATATTATGAAGGATTTAAATTTTTAGTGAGTTTAAAAGATGGTCAATAAGTAAGTTATGAAACGCAGTGAAAAAAAAAAAGGAAATATATATGAAAAACCTTATTTTTCAAAAATAAATTTGTAACTATCGAAAAAAAATACGTGGGTAGGTAATTGAAATGATTACCAACAATTTATAAAATAATTGTCTTCATATAACACATTTGTATTAATAAATAAATAAATTTATTTACATAGAAAACAGTTTATCTAAATTATTGTGTAAAATTTGATTTATTATTGAAATTAATTTTAACACTTAATGACAATTTACATTCGAAACATAAAACTTAGCCATTTACACAGTTTTTGTTTGTAATTTGTGCAAATTTGAATTTGATTCTTATATTAATTGTTTTACTTAAAAATTAACCTAATACTGTGTGTACAAATATTATTTTAGTATTGAGCAGAATATTAAAGACCATTGCAATTACATGAAGTTATAACGATAACAAATATTTTGAATCTAAAATAATAATACGTATATTGTACATTATACCAATTTTATCACATTGTTTTATATTGTGCGTTTCATATATTATATATTAATATATATATTTTTTTTGAAATTGGAAATCTACTACACAATACAAACTGTATTCTTATATGTTAACTAGAACGAGAAAAATTGAAAAGAAAACCAAAATCATTACTAAGTGAAATTAAAAAAAAAAACGGTAGCCTATAAATTAGAAAATTAGAAAAAATTAAACGCTATCAAGCATAATATTGATCATTATATCATCATAATCTTCTATATCATTGGCGCTGAATTACTAACCAACCCCTCGAAAAAAACTGACACGATATTTTATAATTATACTCACCTACCAAAAACTTAAGTGGATCTGAATTTCAATCGTGTTGAATTTAAATGAACCACACATTTCTAATAAATAATACTCAGTATTTTAATGTTATTTAATTATAACAAAATAAAAACCATAAGTAGGTCATAAGTATCATCTATCCATTCCACCAAGCCGTTAAAAAAGTTTGACTTGTGACGTACTTCTATACCATTTTTAAAGTCTCTATCTTTTATAATATTAATATGCATAATACAACATAAATGCCATTAATAAGAAATACAAGTACAAAAAAATAAATAATTTAACAGACTATTATTACTATAGGTACCTGGTAATTTAAAATTCAATAGACAAAATAATACTTTTTAAACAAAACTTAGTTAAAAAAATTGTGAATGTTGAAGCAAATTATACATATTCATTATAACGACTGTCTTAACCCACTATGTAGTTGACGTTTTTAAAATTAAATTAAAAATATATATTTCTTTGTTTCATTGAAAATATTAATTATTTTCAAAAACTGACTGCGCGTATGAAATGCTAAAATGTTATTTAAAATTATACAAAAAGGTTTGCATTAATAATGTACAGATAATTTACATACTAACATTATTTTTTTTATTTTTCACGAGCTATTTACAATATGAATTTGTGATTCAAATAATTTAGGCAAAAATTGATTTCATATCTATGAAACGCATGATATTTGATAAATATAATATAAGGTTGTATTATTTTAATACTTACGTATAGAAAAGAATCTGTCCCACCATCCAGTTGGACACAGATCTGTTTTTAAATTATCTGCTGTTCTACCTACTATAACATATGGTGGATTGACCAGAGTTCTTATTAGCATTATTAAGCCTACTACCGCCATCATCAATCCAAGTCTTTTCAGTAAGTCCTTGTCGGTAATTTTCACGACTTTTGCTGATCTTACTCTAAAAATGACTGATATCCTGTGAACATAATTAAAAAAAAAAATATATATTCGTCATTTGGTTATTGCTATTTATGTATAACTTGAAATTGACGATCAGTCAAGTATGATTTAAGAAGTGCATGCCAGGCATATGGAAGTTTTTCACACCGTTATAAGAGGAATCCCTTCTGCCAAACTTTGTTGAAAGCTTGGATTAAGTTTTGGTATAACGTAATATATTTAGATAGGTTTGAGCAACATGGTATCATAATATGCTCGTTTTGTTTAATTACAAAATTACTTAATCTAATCAAAGTTGATGAAAAAGTCAATATAAAACAATTATAATCTAAAATTTAATATTAAATACAATGTTATTATTATTAAAAAAAAATTATATGTACTGTGTATACATTAACAATATACAATATTATAATACTAAAAATATTTAATTATTAAAATCTATGTTGGACTAAAAAATAATATTCTTCAATTTAGATTTAGTAGTAGGTTCAGTTCATTCTAATATTAAAAATCACCAAGTGAATTAGATTCTTTTATATGGTAAATGTACAATCTTTGTTTTAAAATGATGAAGACAACACATGCTAGTGCGACGTAATATAAAACTAAATATTTACCTGTTTAATTATATTTACAAAGTTATAACTTTTAGTATTAAGTGCAACAATTTCACAATAAAATAATTGGAAAATGCACAAAATGTATAGAATATAATTTCAAAATATTGTAACTAAAATATAAATACATTTGATATTATTAATATTTTAAACATAAATATTTAAAAAAAATAACTCTACACCACTATGTTATTGTATAATTATTAATAAAAAATTTAATTACATGGTTGTCGACGTAAAATTCACAAATATAGTGAAATAGTATATTTTGAATATAGTAAATTTTATAGTTCCGACAAGTATTGTAATAAATTAAATTTATGATAATTATAAGGATGCCATTAAATAATAAATAGTAAGTACTTAATTACAATATTTTATTTTATTTATATAGTTTTGAGTAAAACACAAAGGTTTTCCATAATAATTATTCAAAATATACTACATAAAATGTAATAATAACAATGGGAAGTTAAGTCTGGCTAACTTAAATATAACAGTTTGAATTACGTGAAAAATCAATAAAATTTCTTGATGAAGTTTCAAAATTATACTCGTAGGATGAAATAATTTCAATTATGTATCAAGAACAAAAATTGAATAATATTTTTAAAAATTGTATTATAATATTGTATTTTTTACTACCTGAATTATAATAATCAATTACTGCTATAATGAAGAATGTTGAGTCTAAAATACTTACTTATATTATTGATTGTACACTTAGTATATTAGAATACGAATGATACAATATTACTATATAGGAATATGGTATAGAAAAGGGTAAATGCATAATGATATTTAATTATACATTATTAGTGAGAAAAACTTATTTCCAAAAGAATGAAGTACATTAAATAAACTCAACGTTTATATTTAGTTGTTTATGCAATTGTATAAAATATGTTTCATAGGAGTCGAACAATATTTTACAAAAGTTAATTAATTTTTATGTTTTTAATTAAAAATTATGAATACAAAATACATATTGTAATTTTTATTAAAAGTGAGATTAATACACAAACTAATTTAATGTTTAGCTGACCAATTACCATTTGCATTTGGATATGATTGAAGAAAAAAGAAAAAAAAATATATATTTTTCAATACTATTTGTTAGTACTAGAATTGACATTATAAAATAGGAGATAAAAGGAACTCGTTAGTTCAAAAGGGTTTTACAAAGTTAAATAACATAAACTATTGTCTTAAAAAAAAAAAAAAAACAAATAAATAAATAAATAGATTTTATTACATAATTACATTGAATATAGTTTCATATTGTAGGGATGGATTTTAGAAATGTGTTCTTTGATTTATAAATAATACATAAAATAACTAATGCGATATTTTCACCTCTAATTTCCTTAATACTGGATACGTAAATTCAAATTTTAATATCTTGAATATTTATATTAGAAATATCATAATATTTTCAAACACTTATATCATTTATCGTATCAATTCAAATTTGAAAAAAAAAAAACATTGTATTTAAGTTACATCAAAAACACAGTACCGATTTTGTTAAAAATTGTTTTGTGTAAAAATTCTTGTTTCCTTAATTGTTTGTTTTTCCGAACTATAAAAATGAGTGCAGAGAAATCTTAATTTGATCCTTAATATCCAAAATTACCCTCTTTTTTAAAAACCAAAACATTTTAGCTTATCATGTACTCAAAAATACAGCTAAAAGTAATTTTTAATATTTTAAAATTTTAACTTTAAAAAAAATGATAATTTAGTGTCAGTAATTAATGTTTTTTTGTTCTTATTTTTTGAACACAAACAAAATAACATAATGTGTTTGAGTGAAATAACATTGTTGTTTCTAATTATAGTTAAAAATATTATTTCTATTGTTATTTTAATTTAATTACGACTCATAGGTGAGTACCTAGTTGAATAAATTTATATAAATTAACATTTTTCAAAATTGCATTCAACTGAATTTTTGTTTTTACAATTTATAAAATATTATTTGTGGTATTTGTAAAATAATATTTTAACAGAAAAACATTAAATTATATCGTTTTGATACTATTGATTTATAATATTTATGGTTACAGTAATATTACAAAAACTATAATAGTGTTCAAATTTTACGAAAAACTAGAAATTAAATAAAAAAAATTTTTGAAATATTATATTTTATTAATTATTATAAATTAAAATTCAATCTAGTAACATATTAAAAATAGAGGGCGTTTTTTTCTTAGTAGAACAGATATTTGAAATTTTGGCAACGGACCAAATGGCCAATTTCAATTAACATTGAAGATTTGGCAAGCATGGTCATTGGCCATTGAACACAGTTATAGATATTAATTTATCAACAAGCAGCACCTATAGAAACATATATTATATAGTTTATTTTGTTACTATTACGTATGTGTTTAAACAAAAATTAATTGTAATATGTTATATAATTTTGTTTAGAAAATAAAAACGTACTTTTTAGTTTTTTCATTTAATTTTATTGTTAGTAAACATGTTTTTATTCTTAAATTTAGACAGGTAGGATTAGATAATTATCTATTAATTTTTTTTAATTAGAAGAATTAATAACGGAATTGAATAAGTCTATATAATATAGGGTGATTTTGGGTATTCAATACAAATAATGAATAATATCATGTCATTGAATCGAATCATTTGAATTAAAAACCCAATATACTTTTATGTGAGTGTAAGACATTCTTTCTAGTCAGACTAATTAGACATTTAACTAAAACTATTTTATTTTATTATAAACATATTTCTATACTTTTTTAATATACACTACAATAATACAATTACCGTTCATCTAAGACTTATATTAGTATTACATGCCAAAAAAATTTAAAATATTTATAAACTCCGGTGACAGAAAATCTTAATACATAAAGTTAAAAATCATAATACTATTTACTTAACTAACATTAAAATATATACATAGTATACAAATTTGAATGTACCTTGTCATTGAGTAGGACAGTATTTTATATTTTTTTTTTTTATTTATTATAAAAGCCGCTAGTATAAACTATGATAGCTAAAGTATTATATATTTATATTGATATTTTATGAAGTAAAATTATAATTATAAATATTATAATGGTATAATATTATTTAAGCAATTATTACAATATTATTTTATAATAATATACGATTACCACCTGTTATTAATTTATAAATTAATACCAACATAAAATTTACTGATGATTATGTGTTCTTAGTATATAAAATCTTAAATGAATCTAAATATTTTGAAAATTCCATCGTGTTAAATACATAATAATTTACATATAGGTGGAAAGTTTCAGTATCTACTTCCAAATAATACTTTTTTAACACAAAAAAAAAAAAAATTTATTTAATTAAAATATTCAATTTCATCGAAATTTTAATTTGAAATATCTTAAAAAAAAAAAAAAAAAAAAAAAAAAAAACAGTTCTAATATATTTATAATATTTTTAAAATTAAAACAAATTGACAAACGAAAAACTTGTGTTTATAAAATAAAAATGAATGTGACGGTGGAATGTTTCAAATTTTTATGATTAATATTTTTTGAATAACAACACGTCATTAAAAAAATCATGTTCAAAAAATCAAAATTATTATTCAACTTCAAGAATGTTATTGCTTGACACATAAATATAATTTTTTTTAAATCACTCATGAATGGTATTTCTCTCCTTCTGAATTCAAAATTAATTTTATAATTAGTATACTAAGAACAGGTAACTCACAGAACGTCATGAGCTATTGTCATATCGTATTACATTTAAGATGATATCTTATTTATCAAAAATTATTGATGAAAACGTTCATCTACTTTATACACCATTCCTTCAACCACTTTCTTATTGAAGAGCAGCATTGCTTCTATTTGCATGGATTTACTTCTACACAAAATCTTGTACTATATAAACTTGATGTCTTTCTATCTTAAGAGTTGACTTTACACAATGTATACAGTATTTTCTAAAAAAAAATAGTTAAATAGATAATTCTTTTTTAGTAAAAACTCTTGGTTTCACTTGTGTAAGTAATCTTTCCATCTTTTAGTTTCAATTTCATTAACAAATTTATATTTCTATATATTTTTGTTTATACTTAGTTCATAACCAATTGTTTTGATTGACTGATATTGAGTATTTATCAAGATGCTTTAACTCTCCAATTTTTCGTTTATAAATTTCACTCTGGTTGTTTTCCATCATACCAAGCACCTAATTTTTGCTGATGATATGAAAATGTACCTAAGTCTCAATTTTCGTTAACTACCTTTTAAAAATAACCTATGACTTAAATTTATTGGATAATATATTGGATGAGTTTTTTAAACTATCCCCTTATATTGCTAAATTGTTTATATAAACTTTAACTTGTTCAAATTACTCTGTTGCT